TATGGGCCTGATACTAAAATGTTCTACAAATGAACAAAAAGGCAAGTGTTATAAATAGGAAATTAGCACCACCTTTCCTCTGTCTTGTTGCTTTAATATTTCTGTTAACAATAAACCAATATGTAGAACACCTTCCTGAGATGAAAAGGGGAACAAACTTCTAATGGCATTACTAAGGATTTGATATAAAATTCAGCAGCTTTGTAAGGACAATAAATATTTCTATTAGTAATTGTTTTTTCCTTCTTGTTCTTTAACGAAAGAATTGTGTAGTTCTGAATAGGGATTAATCTTGTAAAACTTCATTTAAAAAAAAAAGTTCTGATTTTTCTTGATACATAAACCAACCAAACCATGCAACTGCTCGCTTCCTTTTTTGTAAGGCCAGCTGGTTTTTGTAACCAAAAATCTCAGCCTTGGTCCCAGCAAGTGTTCTGGGGTGGCCCTGCTGGTCCCCTTGCAGGAAGGAGGCAGGCGGGTGCTGGCAGAGGCCGGTGACCTTCACTATGAGCATGGCACTGGGGAATGAGCCACACCTTGGGAAACCTACTGAGATTTTGGCTGGCTGTGTTGTGAAACATGAATAATAATATTGCAGTCAAATGTACAAATGGCTCCATTATAATAGTTTAGGACATTGGGGACCATCTTTTTAGCAGGGCTGGTTGCGACAGGACAAGGGGTAATGGTTTTAAACTGAAGCAGGGTAGGTTTAGACTGGATATAAGGAAGAAATTCTTTACAATGAGGGTGGTGAAACACTGGAACGGGTTACCCAGAGAGGTGGTGGAGGCCCCATCCCTGGGAACATTCAAGGCCAGGTTGGACAGGGCTGTGAGCAACCTGATCCAGTTAGCGGTGTCCCTGCTCCCTGCAGGGGGATTGGACTAGATGACCTCTAGGGGTCCCTTCCAACCCAAACCATTATATGATTCTATGATTTATAAATATATAACAGCTTTCCAACCAAATGAGAACATCTGTAAAATTACCAAGTTCTTCATTGTGTGCTTGTTTTCCAAATTACGTGAAATTCCAGTCCAGAATTCTGAAGAGATCGGGTTTCCTCCAAACAACTTCTTGCAGGTTACGTATCCTAACAACAGAAGGAGGAAGGAGAAACTAATGATTTCTAGTAATTTTATTCTGTCGGACTTTCTTTTGTAATGTGGGTGCTCAATCCATTGTTGTTTGTTTTTTTTTATCCTCATTCCTCATGCATTGAGGAGTGCCTACATCCGCAATGGGTTACTTCTTCAGTACACAAATAAAGAAAGCCTCATGTTTACCTACAAATAACATAGGTTTGTATGAATCTATTGACCGGGATGGCTTTCTGTTGTTGATGAGTTGTTATATTCTCCTTCATCCTTCCAGATCATTCCTATGGGTTCTGACAATATTAAGGCTTCATTGGCAGCTTCAGGACCTAAGAGTTTAAGTCCACAGGAAACCACACATAGTATGTGCCATGTTCAAGGTGATCTTGATGCTCTTTTTATATTGAGAAAGAAAATTATTGATAGCCAGTGAAAGCTCTTAGCAGTTTTTCTTTGGAAAGGTGCAGGCCGAGATGTTGTCTAGTATTGGAAGCAGTAATCCTCAGCTTGATTTTACAGGCATACAACCTACTTCAGTTTATTTTTGAAGGTAATTTGCTGATGGTTATTGGAATCACTCAAATGGTGATTGGCAAATCCCTTCAGGTGTTGGTTATCATGAGATTAATGGGTATGGTGGGGTGAGGCTCTAAGCCTGATGAATGCTCAGGAGAGGCAAATAGCTTCGTTAACAAAAGGGCAGAAATGTTGTCTGCTGACCCTGTTGCTAATGGACTGATTGAACGAGCTTCCTCCCAGAGTTAGGCAAAACCAAATGTGTAATGTGGATCTCAGCTGCAGGAGGTGGGCTCTCTGGAGTATCCCAGCACTCCCTGAACACTCTGTCCGCAGGGCTGCGGGAGGGCAGCTCTGCCCTGGGAGTCTGGCTCTGCCCAGGAGTGCATCTCCAAAGGGTGTCTCCTGCTTGCTGTGGGGATGCATGCACGGTGAAGGTATGTTGCTGCTGTCTGTAAGCAAACTCAGATGATGTCATTTCCCACCACGCTTCTACAAAAAAAAAAAAAGGTATTCTTGGAACTGTGGCTCTGCGGGCAGTAATGTGTTGAGTGGCTATCTAGCATCTGAGCATGCTGCATGTCCCCCGAGGTTGCAGACAGACATTCTGTAACCAGAATTCAGAGATGTCACAAGTGGCTGAACAAACAAATATCGCCAGTTAATGGTTAAACTCTCAATTTACTGAAGCATTTGTTACCAGTTTGTGAAGGAGATCAAACAACCATGAATCATAACCTTGGCTACTAATTAAATCCTTTATTCCCTTCCCTCATCGCAGAAGCATTTAATCTCGGGGAATCAGGACAGCCTGTTGTGCAGAATTAGATTTTACAGCATAAGCAGAAACAAGCTTACTGTCAGGTTTCCTACTGGAGCTGTAAATGGGAAGGAAGAAAATGAGAATATTAACTTTCCCTCCTGGCTTGGAAGTTCGTGTTAGCACTGAGCAATGATTGATGTAAACTAGCTGCATTGGAAAATCATTTTGGTGGTATAGTTTGGTTATTTCACTGAAAGGTGAATATGATTTTTATTATCCGTCTGTCTTGCTTATAGATGAGAGTCATCACCTAGATAGAGAAATGTGGGATTTGGTGTATTTTACTAGTGACCATCGGTCCCAAAGAAAAATACTTTACTCAGAAATAATGGACTGTGAAGAAGACCCCAGAGTAAATGAGGCATAAACCAAAACACTACGTGCAGTTTTATTGCAATAGAAATTTATTTCTATTTGTCATAAGATGTTTTTATGTGTGTTTATGTATAAGATGTATAGCTGCATGACAGTTGCCCTTCCACATCTTTGATATTTAATAGCAAATTAAACAGCTTTTATCTTTTTGGCTGCCACCTCTGTGAAGCAGAACTTAAAAACCCAGAACACTTTATTTCCTTTGGTTTTGGGGGCAGTCGTCCTTGTCCCTAGAGCAGAGCGATGCAGGAAGGGCTCACAGAACGGGAATACCATGAACTAGCATCAGGCTAACTCCATTCACCAGGACTCGATCCAAACGGGCAGCCATCCCAGTTAGGAGGAGAGAATTTCCATTTTTATAACATGAACCATGATCTTGCAGTCAAATCTGCGGGAGCGGGGACCTAGAGCAGGTCACACTTGAGGCACCTGGGTAGGGTACGAAGAGGGAAGGGCCTTCCTATATAGATCCAACTGCAGCGTCATGGACCAGTGCATAATTATTGAGGCACAGTCACTTTATAGAAATGCTTTTACAGTCTTAGCGATCTGTAGACCTGTAGTGAAAAGCTGTACTTTATTAGTTTGAAAAGCAACTGTATTTTACACTGTATCTGGAGAAACCAATCTTTTTTTGATATCATTGCTAAATCAGAACAACTTCTGTAACAAAAAGAAACCACCTGAGAGGCAGTATCTACAAGTAGAAAATGGTTTTGGCTCTGCAGAAAAGTCTTTTCCCCCTAAAATGTGTAAGTTTTCAGAAAGGGAACACCCCAGCTGCACTTGCCATGCTGTTCAGAGGACAGACATCCTCCACTTGCGCGTGCAGAACTTCTGTTTGCTGGGGGAAATTTGTCCTGAGGAAATGTGTGAATAATCACTAAAAATGGAGGTTATACTCAACTGAAGAGGCTTGGGTGATCCCATGCTATATCATACCAAAGACCCAAACCTGTACAGAACTTAAATATTATTTTTCCAGCCCACAGTGAGTATGAATGCTGTCAGGTTCAGTACAGACAGAAAGCACTGCCTAGTGACATCTCAATATGCCTGTCTGTCATCATTGCTGGTAATAATTTTCTAAAGATAAAACATCTGGAATATCTAACTCTGCTTTTACTGCTGCTTCCCCAGAGCCATGCCTAGAAGTCTGATTGGGATGAGAGTTAGAAATTCTAGATGTTCACACATTCAAAAAGGAAAGAAAGATTGTGCAATAGTGTTATATAAGTGTGTCTTGATAAGAGTAATAGAATGGGCAAATAGAATAAATCATCAGCGTAGCTTAAATGTTTGATTTGATATTTTAATGTTAAAAGGAAAAATCCATCATTTTTGCAAACTTTGAAAAATGCAAAATATCTTTTGCTCTTAATGAATTGTTTAAGAACTGATGCCGGATACTATGACAACTTTACGATACTTTATTTTAAAGTACAAAGGGCAAATTGTTATTTTTTAATTCTGTTTTCAGTTCATATGCGTGTGCTTGAAAAGGGCCGTATGTTTGTTTAAAGACCTTCCAGATTATATTGTCTTTATGTACACTTTCAGTTTGGTGTTGGGCTACGTGTGCACGAGGATGTTGCATTCAGCTACCACAAGATCATTGGGATTGTTTAGCAGCCAGCTCAAAAATCTTCAAAGTGTTGGGGTTTTTTTTAATAAATTTTGAAAAACGAATTCATGTAAGTGCAGAAACATATTGTGCAAGACTTAGGGAACAAAAGACCCAACACAAACCCCAAACTAACAAACAAAAACCCAATAAAAACCTAACCAAAAACCCAAAAAGCTGGAATTCTAGAGTGACCGCGCATAAAAGCTGTGTGTGGCTGAATATGCGGGAACTTGAGAGCTGGGGTTTTTTCAGAGAAGAAATTGGGAAGGATGGGTGGAAGTTTTCTTAGACATCAGAGGAGGAGGTTATGTGGACACCCCTTTTTATTGTCAAATGTATGCAAACCTAGCATAGGTCAGATAAAATTCTGGATTTTTATAGCCGCCTTGGAAGGTGGAGAAGGTCAACATAACAGTGTATTGTGCTCCCAGGCTGAATCTCAACTGCTTGCATTACATGTTCACATGTTAGCAAAGCATTTACTGCAGGCTGTTGTTTTTATTGTCTGGATGGAGATGGTCTTGGCCTCCCCTCACCTTCCTCCTTTTTCCCACAGGCTGCGAGAACACCACCGTGCTGCAATTAAGGTGATTCGTAGGATGCAGTATTTTGTGGCCAAGAAAAAGTTTCAGGTGAGTTGTGAATAGAAAGCTCCTTTTCTAAATAAACCCTTTTATTCTCCTGATTCATTGTTTCTTTTAGAAACTTAAGGGAGAGGAACACAATTCCTTTTGGTAATGGTGAGCTACGCCCTCTGTTCTCTCCCTCCTTCAATAGGGTGGTTGTTTAGCAGCAGGTTAGTCGGCTGTGGATGCACTGGAAATGGGCTAAACTCCTGAAATGCAGGCTGAATTAAAATGTTATTTTCTGCTAATGGACTTGACCCCTAACCCTCTGTTATCACTGTCTCTTTCTCACAGTACAAACATTCTCATATGTCTCCATTAATTCTGAGCTGTATGTTAAATTGTCGTGCCGAGTCAGGAGGATTAGAGATTAAAATACTACCTCAGCCTTGTTTCTGTCTCTTACTCCGTGATAATGAAGCCCTGATAAGAAACTGGGGTGAAAAATTGTTAGCATATTGGAAGGTTTCTCCCTCCTTTTCCCTTCACCCCCCTGCATAGGTAGGAGCCCTCCTTTCAAGTTTGTGAGATATCGGTTCTCTTGACTCCTCTGGCCCCCACTGACCTACGTTTCCTGTGTGCCACTTCACTCGCTGTGATGCTACCATACCGTAAGCATTTGGCAGTAGCTAATTAACCTTGTTGCCTGGTCTGAATAAAAAAAATCTGACTGCAAACCTTCTAAGAATGTGGTTTCTAAATCAATTTCATTAATCCGGTAAACACCCATGTGTCAGCAGCCTTCAGCTTGATTTAAACCAGGTGAATATATATGTAAGAAATATATTACGTTACTTAAAATTAATTAATGAGGGACAATCCCTGGAAAACAGGCTTCACAACTGAAAATGCAAAGAAACAGAAGGGCTTAACTGTCCACATCCATTTTCATATAAGACCACGGCACTACTGCTTGCGATAGACTAAAAAGCATTCCTGGCCCTTAATCTGTCCTCCCAAAAGGTGGGGGGGTCCTTTTACCTTCACATACTTGAAGGGTGCAAAAGTTTAGAATCAAAAATATAATGATGATGATAACAGTCCAAGAGAACATCATTTCTGTAAGGCGATGCTTGCTGCTACTTCAAAACTGTGATTCTGACTTCCTCGTTGAAATTTAGAACAACTGCCTGAATTCTTCAGCGGTTTCCTACTTTGAATCTTTTTTTATTTTTACTAAAATCCGTGAGCTAATTTATGGCAAAGGTTGCCTGAGCTTTTCAGAAATTTGTTTCAGTTATGTATAATTTATTCAGACTGTCACCATATGGGCTGAAATCTCCTGTGTCCAGGGCTCTCCCATGTCCAGGGTCATGGAGGGAGCACTTTCAGAAGGGAGCACTTTCAGAAAGATTCTGCTAGCACATTTCACCTGGGTTTTTTATTAGACTAAAATTAAGAAAGGTACAGTATCTGGGCTACTTGAAAATAATTATTATAGTCATTTTGTTGAGAAGCTCCTTAACACTTGCTGGTCAGCACATGTACCTTGGCAAGGGATGTGGCCCATTGCAGTGATGTGTCCACTGCTGGTCTGTGAGAAACTGCCTAAATGTGGCTGGTTACATTAAACTTTGATTTATTCTCATTCTAAAACCTGATTGTGATCCTTTGCTCTGTGGTAATTACTGAATCATTGCTCTCATAAATTTAGATCATAAAATATTTGCCATGGTATTAACTAAACTGCTTAGAAACAAGAAATCTACACATTATATATCTACTTCCCAAGTGGTATTTGTCAAAAACAGATTTCGAAAATGCCTGAACACTGTGTGCAACATTATCCACCTGGCAAATAAATGAAACTCCCCTGCGGCAGATGACTTGATAGAAGCTGAAAAAGCATTTGACTGAATAGAATGGGACTATTCAGTCCATACTTGAAACTTGGTTGTACTCAGTATCCAGGCTGCTAATCTGGCTTCTCAGTTGTACTCTCACTTTCGCATCTGCAAAAGGCCTGGTCTTGGCCATCTACAAAATCCCTCAACAGGGTTGTCTCTCATCCTTCTTTAGCAGTCTGTCTTCTTCCTGAGCTGCTACTAAAGAACTAAAAATGCCAGTTAAGCTGAAGTTAAAAGTATCTCGAGTCAGTCCTGTGTACAAGCAATACACGGCTGTTGCTGTCAGAAGCAGGATCTTCCAATAGGAATGTACGGGGGATATCTGATACTTCTCCGTGATTTCTGAATACAAGGTTATGACCGAGTTTAAAAATCTGGAGAGCACCGAAGGTACGGTTTTCAAAAGCACCCAAGTAAATTAATGCACAAAATCACCTTGAAATTCAAGCCACAAGGTGCTTTTGAAAATCTCTCCTGTAATTAAGAGATAACCACTGTCATTACTCTTTCCTCAAAACTATGTTGTAAATCTGCTTTGTTCTATTGTATGCACATAAAATAGTCATAAGAAGTTAAAATGTTTAAACATGTGCCAAGTAATGACTGTACAGGTTTTAATGACCAGTCCGATGCAATATCTGAAATTAAGGTAAAGCAGAAGATGCATTTTAAAAACGTATCCTTCAGCATTTAAGAGGTCTGCATGGCTGTATTATGGTAGTTATTTCCTTCTAAGCTTTTTGTGTTTATGTACAATGTATCTTCATAAAAGAAAATTCAGATTATTTTTTTTTCTGGAACTATTGGAAAAAACCCAGCTGAAGTCCATTGGACTATTAATGCTTAAAATTAGCTGGAACATAAGTAATTGCAAGCCTAGCACTTAAAAGGAGTATTTTTTAGAGATGCCTCTGAAGCTTTTTTTTGGGGGGGGGGAGGGGGAGCATAAGAAGGAGAGGAAGAGGAAAATTTTGCAAAATAGGTCCCAGCATGAACCTGACGTGGTTCTTAAACTATACCAGCTGTTTGCAGGATACACCTGTATGCCTAAATTTGTGTAGATATACTTTTTATTTAAGAGCTCCATTAATAACAGGGGGTGATGGCACCACAAGGACAAAAGTCAGTTAGAAAGCAGAGACTTCCTGTTTAAAAAAATTAAACAAAATAAATAAATACAAGCTAAATAGGGATACAAAGAAATTTCAAAGGACATGAAAAGCAACTCTTTGTGAAGCATCACACTTGGGCATCATTTCTTCTTTAAAAGGAGGAGAGAAATTTATGCTCCATTTTAAAGTCCAGGCTTGAATACAGGTCCGTCTAAGAACGAAGCAGAATATTATAAAGAATTAATACCTTTTTATGGATGTGTTTATGCCCTTGTAAAGTCTGCAGGGCTGTTTCAAATTGTGTACCAAAAATGAATTTCATATATTAGTTATAAATCAGATGTCTTTGGCACAGTCTACCCTCACAACTGAATTTCAGAAAGAAAATCACCATACTCGGTTAATCCATTGGCTGGATTCATGAGTAAATAACCTTTGTTTTCCACTTCAGAAAGTTTCTAAACATCTTAAGAGTTACGCACATGGATACAACTGTGATATCCATCGCAGATCCAGACATCAGGGATTTGATCTGGTTCCCTATTATCATTTTGAAATCTTTTTTTTTTTCTCTTTTCATGTAAATTCTTCCTGTTGTAAATCTGTTTCCTTCTATAATACGTTTTTAACTTGTGTTATGTTTTTCACCATGGCAAATATTCTATACAGAGCGTAAACTAAAAATACAGGTTGGACTTCCACTGGTGACATGAGTAACTGTTGCCTGGTTTGTTACAATTTCACTGGAAAATCTTGGTGTTTGTGGTCTTACAATTCATCATCTTACCTAATTCATTTGTCATGGTATGAATCACGAATTGTATGTGTAATCTTTCCTCGCCTCCATACTGGGCTGTACAAACAATGTAGTTCAGCGTGTCCTGTGCTTCAAAGGATGTTCTATCCAATTTTTTTGACTGTTATTTGGTTACATTTCCCAGAAATTCCCCTTGCACAGATTCCCCTCTCCCTTTCCTGGGTCTGCCTCCCTGTGCATGCAGTTACTAGGGAACAGCAACGGCCGGAGGTGCACATTTACCATTTGGCGTTGGGTTTTGTGCCTTTTGCAAACTTCTGTATTTGACGAAGGAAACTTTAAGCCATTTAAAATGATTTTTGCCACGACTATTGGCTAGTTAGCAGAGGGACAAAAGTAAAGAGAAGGGGTTAAGGAAAGCTGTGGGGCTGGCTTCTACTTTTGTTTCTTCAATACTCATCCATTGCCTGCTGCAGGGTGTTTTCGTTTTAGATAACTAACAGGTTGTCGGCATCAAGAGTGTTTTCTCTTGAAAGATCAGCTTTCAATGCGAAGTAATTACAGAATAATCAGTACTGACTATTAAATGCCCTATCCTACTCAGAAATTAAACTTCATTCATAAATTCTATTTACTCCAGGTTTTCAGTTCTTGTTTTAAAGAAAAAGAAGCAGTAAATTAAAACCAGGCAGGGACTTGCCTACTCTTTCTACTGTCAGACACTTGCTTCGGAGTACAAGGATGGCAGGAGAAAGCTCTGCATCTTTATTCTCGCTGAACAACTTTTCTGAACCTGGAGTTTTCCAGCTGATCTTGCAGATTTCTCTCTTGCATTACAGTACAAAAATAATCCAAGAATGCTTTTCTTTTTAATATCATCATGTTTACAGTACTAGTCCATGGAAAGACTTACGGACTTAATGCCATCGTTGAATCCTATTTTTTTCTTTGTGGATGTTAGGTATGATTTATATGTGTAGTCGGGGTTCTTAAGAATAATTCTGTGTGCTCTGTGGTTAGATTGAACCAATTCCCATTCCCATTTAGCCTTCCACTAGAGAGCATCTCACATTCACCCAGGGTTTGCAATGGGCTTTGGGGAATATGGCGGAATGAAATACAATTTTTTTTATGAAGTGATATTATTAAAGTAATGATTTCTAAAATGTGGGAGCTACCTCCCAAGCAGGTGCAGGGGACTGTACGAAGGTGACACAACCTGGGTTTTATATGGCATCCTGCTTTCCTTTGGCTTAAAAAGGAAGGTGTTTGTGGCGTGGAATTGAGGAAAACCTGCAGCATGTGAAATAAGGTTAAGCAGTACAGAGACATGTCCTGCTTTTGAAGTACAGGTGACAAAATATTTCTGAGACCTCAAATGGGATACAAATTCTGGTATGTTAGAATCTACCACTGTAAACTTTTTTCCTCATTCTCAAAAGATGCAAGAAAGCAAAAGTTACAACACAGTGTTACCAAGGTTTTTACCAAATCTTGAAAATTATTTACAGAGTATCTATAGGCAGCATAACAAATGAGTCAGAAATATAGAATAACAGAATGGTTTGGGTTGGAAGAGATCTTTAAAGGTCATCTAGTCCAACGCCCCTGCAATGAGCAGGGACATCTTCAATTCGAGCAGGGTGCTCAGAGCCCCATCCAACCAGGCCTTGGCTGTTTCCAGGGATGAGGCCTCCAGTACTTCCCTGGGCAACCCATTCCAGTGTTTCACCACCCTCATTGCAGAACATTTCTCCCTTGTATCTAGTCTGAATCTACCCCCTTTCAGTTTAAAACCCCTGCCCCCTGTCCTATTGCTATAGGGCCTACTAAAATATCTGTCCCCATCTTTCTTATGAGCCCCCTGGCTTAGAATCGTAGAACCGTTTAGGTTGGAAAAGACCTTTAAGATCATCAAGTCCACCCAGTATGCTGGCATATCATCTATTGTTACTGTACTGTTTGATTGATTTAGCATCTTTAAGAAAAAGTTTTATGCAAATCATAAGTTCAGGTGTTACTGTTCAGCCTAATGTGTGAAGTTTATACCCTTCTCCTCTCTCCTCTTCTCTGTCATGTTAGAGCTTCTTTGCTGCTTCTCTTATGTAGCTGTGGCACTGACGGGACTTCTGTTTCTAGATGCAAGATTAAGACATTTTTAGTTTCTCACTGCACTTTGACAAGTTCATTCGCTTGCTTTCCAGTTAGTCTTGGCGTTTATTGGTTAAAATTGCGATCTTTATCTTTAGTACTACACAGAAGTGTTTTTATTACTAGTAGGTCAGATTAAGGCTTTCCAATGTATGAAGTGCAAATTATAGACATGGGGCTTTCTCCCTGGTCATTCTTTGCACCAATATTAGAGTGACCACAAACTTGTGAGCAAAGGGCCAGATATACTTTTTTGGCCCCAAGTTCTTTTGGCCTCAAGTTCAGGGGATAATCTCTTGAAAGGCGCATAGACCTGCAGTAACAAAAAGGTGGATGAAATCAGAACTGTCATAATTATTCCACAAAAAATGTATGATCATGGCAACAAGCAAAATATCTCAAATGTTTACACAGTGTTAGAAGAACTTACTGTTTACTCTTGGAAAAAATCTACATTACCATAGACCATTCCTACACCCTTGTGGCTTAAAGGCGTGTTTTTGGCTTTTATTTTACAGCAAGCTAGGAAGCCCTATGATGTCCGAGATGTTATTGAACAGTATTCTCAGGGTCACCTCAACCTGATGGTGCGAATCAAGGAGTTACAGAGGAGGTATGTCAATGAAGTCCAGTGTCTGTATCCCTAAACACCAGCAGAGGGATGTTTGTAAATAAGCCAGTGCTTGGGGCTGGGCATCACAAACCGACAGGGTTACGGGTGCCATATTGGTAGCTCCGTGCAAAGTTACGGAATATAAAATGGCATTCAAGTAAAGTTTTCTTTTCACACTGGAAGGTAAAAGCAAAGAGCTTAAAAATATGATGATTGGGACTTACAGTTTTCATTATACTTACATGTATTGCCTCAGTCCCTGCTAGCTTTGACTCTACACTGTAACCCCTATATGTTAGGGGCTGTGTTACACGTACAGAGTGAAATGCTGTTTCCTCCCCTGGTAGAATTGCACTTAAGAGCAAACTAAGAGACAACAGGTAAATGCAACAAGTAAGCTGCAGAAGAACAAGGAAAAGAGGAAAAGCCGTGGGCATGGTAAAAGTTTACAGTAGTTAAAGAAGCTAAAGAACACTCTTAAGTCTAATCCCATTTTGTTATTATTTTTTTTTAATTTCTGTTCTTAACCCAAAGCAGCTGCTTCACTTACAGTACAAACCAGAACTATTTGAACTTCGCTTTGCTTGTTTGTGAAAAGGTCTCCCCGCTCCAGCTGGAGAAAGTGAAGATGCTGGTTCAGGCTGATGAAAACTGAAAATTATTCTCTCTTTTTTTTTTTTTTTTTTTTTTTTTTATAGGTTGGACCAATCCATAGGAAAGCCATCTCTTTTTATCTCCGTCTCAGGTAAATTAATATGGAGGATGTGTCTAAAGTTAATCTGATGAAGATATAACGAATGGAAAATACTTGTTAAAGTACTTTTTATTTTGTTGCCCAATTTTTAAACAGATCCAACCAGTTGTTCTGTGATGTTTAGGCACCCACAATAATATTTAGTCATTGACACCTTTAAAATAGGATTGCCCTTGTTTAGATATTTAAAGCACCTACTTTCACTGAAGTTTTCAAAATGTTGGCTCTAGCCTCTCTGAGACTCACCAGATTTTCAATAAAACGGTGTGCTGTGATTACAGAGTTCCTATCAAATCAGTCATATTCCCATACAGCTTTGATAGCTTTGGAAAGAGACTGGAAAAGGAGCACAAAGTACCAAGTTCATTTGTGACAAGTCTGGCTAATGAAAGCTCTCTGTTAATGTAATTTTCAAACTCATGTTTCTATATCATTTGGGAGGGAGGAAGAGTAAATGATACAAAATTCATTGTTCAAGATGGCTTTAGAGTCTTTTGCATATTGGGGTTTTTTTCAGATTGTTTTTAAATGGCAGTTAAAACATTAACTTAATTTGGGAACAGTTTTGTTCTCCCAGGTTAAAGCATAAAACCAAGGTTGAAAGTGCCTTAAACTTCAGGGCTATTAAAAGCCACAGCGTGGGCTAATGCTATAAAAAGAAACAAAAAGCTGCTTTTAAGGAATGGATCTACCAGCCTGGCAAAGGTGTTCAGTTACACTGCGCTGGTGGGCTGCTTAAACACACCCTGTTGTGGCTTGCTGCTATTTTGTTATACCACCATATATTAATTTGAAAATGTTTTCTTGTTCCACAGAAAAAAGCAAAGATCGAGGGAATAACACGATTGGTGCCAGGCTGAACAGAGTGGAGGACAAGGTAAGCCTCAGTTAGACTGCCAGTGAATGAGGACGTGGTCTGTGATTGAACAGTGCTTGTTTCATAGGATGTGGGGAAAAATTCGGCTTAAAATAGAGTCGGATGTCTGGCTTTTCCAGGTGATGGAGCATAATTTTTGTGGCAGGTTGCATTTTTGGTTCTTCCTTGTCATTTTAACAGAATAAGAAAAAAAACAGACTTTTAATTGCTTTTTGTCTCCTTTGGGACTCGTGTGGGTTTCTTATTTTTAATTGTGTATATGACACACATCTCAGTGCTCTACTTCCTTCCTCCACAATAGATAAAAGGCTCAGTTCCTTTAATACCTCAGTATATTACAGTCCCTAAGATTTCCCTTTGATCGTTGCTCTGTTGTTTATATGACTCCACCTACAATTCCTCAGAGAGAGCGATAGCAAACCTTGTTCTGTCCTGGTGTTCATTCCTTATGACAACTGGAGTTTCTCCTTTCAAGAGACATGAAGCCAGAAAAAATCAGACTTGTTCTATAATCTCAAATTAACAGTTAAGTGCTTTGTAACCCTTTATTTGAATGCTGGCTGTGCTTGAAAAAATTAGATGACAGGTAGAGACTATGTCATTATGAAAAAATATAGGCTTGCCTATGTTGGTATTAAGGAAAGAAAGGGAGAGCTATGAGAAATGGTTTGAATCCTTTAGTGATCTCTTGTAGTGATTTGGTGAGGGGGTGAATGTATTTCTTTACCTTAGAATTATTTCATTCATGTATGTAAACTGTTAATTCGATATTAAGGAGTGAAAATTTTTCTTGAGGAAAAGGGCTTTCAGAGAGTTTCTTCCACAACTGGATGTGGTAACCTCATGAAGGCTTTGTTCTGAAGAAATATCCAGCAAATATTCTGAAAACCAAGAGAGGTGTGAGCAACACATCCCAAAGGATGCAAACTGAGCACCCCGATCTGTATTGATTCTCTTGTAAGATATCCGTTCCTTACACACTTCTCCTTAAATATTTCAGATAAACTTGAGTGATAGTACTCAGAACTGTACTTCAATCTATTGGAAATAAATGTCATTTTAGAGGGAACAAGTGCCTTTTGGTATATAGGGTGACACACGGAAGGGGTGAAGTAGGCAGGTCCCCACCAAGAAGGCCAACAGCATCCTGGCTTGTACCAGGAATAGTGTGGCCAGCAGGAGCAGGGAAGTGATCATGCCCCTGTGAGGCCACAACTTGAATTTTTGCATTTAGTTTTGGGCCCCTCACTACAAGAAAGACATTGAGGTGCTGGAGCATGTCCAAAGAAGGGCATTAAAGCTGGTGAAGGGTGTAGAGCACAAGTCTTGTGAGGAGCAGCTGAGGGAACTGGGGTTGTTTAGCCTGGAGGCTGAGGAGAGACCTTATCGCTCTCTACAACTACCTGGAGGTTGTAGTGACGTGGTTGTTGGTCTCTTCTCCCAAGTAACAAGTGATAGGATGAGAGGAAATGGTCTCCAGTTCTGCCAGGGGAGGTTTAGATCAAACATTAGGAAAAATTTCTTCACCAAAAGGGTTGTCAAGCATTGGAATGGGCTGCGCAGGGAAGTGGTCAAGTCCCCATCCCTGGAGGTATTTAAAAGACGGGTAGACGAGGTGCTTAGGGACGTGGCTTAGTGGTGGAATGGCAGGGTTAGGTTAATGGCTGGACTTGATGTTCTTAAAGGTCTTTTCCAACCTAAATGATTCTGTGTTTCTAAGAATCACTGTACAGTGCTTGCTCGGATCTGTGGTGTGTTCTTACACATGGAAGCCCTTTCCAGAAATCTTGCATTACATTTATTTATTTTCTCTCCGTAATGTCAACTAAAAGTGTGGAACACTAAAAAATGTCTTGTGACTTGTGACAAAGAGCAATGACTTTTCAGTTTGGAGAAATGATTCTCAAATGACAGCTAAAATAGCTTCTCAGTGCTATTTCTAATATCTCCAACGACCCTGGGAAAGCTTTGGTGTTGTACTGGCTCAGAGATAAGCTAGTTTAGGTTATTAATTACTCTTTTTACACCCTAACAAATAAGTACATCGTAAATTTATAGTGACTGTTGTTTTATGCCTTGTAATGGTTCTGTGAAACACTCCCTGTTTAATTTTAGTATAGCCGGGTTAAATTTTAGCCTTGTTTCAAGTAACAGACCCTTCTTTCTTTGCAGTTGCATGAGGTCATCTGTGGTTTCAGAGTTGTATGTTATCTGCCCTATACAGCTAGTCCTATCTGCAGGAATTTTATCTGAAAGTAGCTGAAAGGCTAAAAATAGAGAATTTCAGTTGGACTCGGCAAACAGAGGTACACATGACAACACACCGGCAGTGCTGAGATCACATTCTTGCTGCAGATGGTGGCCAAAGCGAGGGGGTTTTTTGGTGTTTTCACTCTTTGAGATTGGCCTTCTCTTTCCCGTAAAGTCCATGGTACACTTTCAACATAACAATTAAATCCTTCCTGAGCTGAACACTGCGTAAAGGGTATCTCTATCAGCTGGTTTTTAAGGTGGCCACATATTTTAAGGCGTTACATCCTGTTTGTGAATTAGTTTTGAATCTTGGACTTCTGAAGAAGCGATTTTCTGGGGTGCAGGCTTGTCTTAGCATCTCACCACCTTCTGTGCATTTGAAAAAATCTCCTTTACGCCATTCTAAGATGAGCCGGAGCCTTCTGAAATTACTTGGATGCTTCTGTTGCAGCAAGAACTTACACGGTACTTACCATGCCACAGGAATAAGCTGAGTTCTTCCAATAGATCTTTCTCAGGGATCGTTAGGATGCTTGTTGCAGCAGAAGGCTGGTGTACGGTTGTCAGAAAGTCTGTGTTAAAGCAGAGAGTCAGAGAAGAAACCCTGAACTTTCATTTTTTGAACTTTTGGGTGCTTCTGCTAAGGGATGCCTGCGGTCAGCACAGGGTCTGCTACTTGCACATCACAGAGGCAGGGTCCCTTTTCACGTAGGCTTCTGTGGGGTGGATTTGAACTCAAGAAGCTTTTACGAATGAAGCTAGTTCTGTCTTCAGGAGTATTTAATCCTGTTTCTGGAGCATCAGGTCACTCTTGTAAAGCTTTTCTACTTGTGGCACAGGCGAACAGACTAGAGGCTCACGTATGGCTGGCAGGACAGAGGGGACGGCTCCTGAAAGGGACATTATCCAAATGAAATGCTTAGGGTTAAACAGCAGCGTATTGACAGGCGTTGTGATACTTTATGGCACAAATCTGAGTTTCAACATATTGAAATCAGCAAAAAATCATGTTTTCTTCTTTTAAATTTTGGAACGTGTTTATTTGGGGGAGGGGAGCAGTGTTGGTAGAGTCTGTTCATCTTGTGCACCAAGTGAAAGTTTGACCTTGTAATATATACAGTTTGTGATAACGTAACTAAAGATTGTTTCCTAATATCCAAAAGCCAGGAAGATGAATCACACTTGCAGGGATCTTCCTGCAGATTCCTTCCCGTAGCACTTTTTAAGTTCAGCGAGCAACCAAAAGGTGGTTTTGTCAAGGTCACCAGAAACCGCGCAGTCCGATAGGCCTTTGTGAAAAGAAATTGCAGTTCAACGTGTAATTGCAGCGCATTTTGACTTTGCCGTTGTTCCCTATCGCTTATAAAGCGGAGGGTGGGAAATGCTCTCTTCTTCTAAAGGGGTATGGCCACGGCTGAGGGCGGGCGGCCGCAGGCACCCCCCGTGCCCGGTCAGTCGGGACACCGGCCAGCTTTGGTCCAGAAGGCACGTAGCTGCGCTAGCGCAGCGCCTCGACCAAGCTCATAAACCCCACTAAGCAGCCGTGGGCCAAGTGTGTGCATGCAGATACACTCATCCCGTCCCTCGGAGAATGTTGTTGAGCAAGATTACAGCAGCAAATCAATTTATTTGCGGTGACCAGCCTTCTCTCTCTCTATTCCAAAACATCTGTGAATGACTGTTCAGCCTACCCTCAAGAAACCTGGCCACTGCTGGCTTGCTACCAAAATCAAAATCAAAGCCAGTTTTTTCCAGATAGGCGCAGCTGTATGTGCACAGCGCTGTTAATCCTCACGCAGAGCGCGCTGCGTGCCAGGGGTTTAATTCTGGGTGTACCCGGCAGCTCGATCCAGGAGCGAGCCCACAGTGCACTCAAGAACTTCTGTGTGCTACATCTCCTCTTTTCTTTTCACTGCTTTAATTGTAGCTTGGCTGTAAATGACCATAATGCTAACTTTTTAGAATAAATTAATCTGTTCTTTTTCAACCTTTTGCTGACCATTAATTTAGATGTAGTGGGCACAACTTGCACTTTTCAGGTAATCAGCCAGGCTTGTTGCTTGGCTTCCCTAAGATAATTTAGTCTTAAAGATGGGCAGTGCACAAAATCATCCGGAATATATAGCAAGGGCTAAAATTGGCAGTCCCTGGACTCTTGCCAGTCTGTTGTGCCTACATACCAGGCTCCCCCAGGTGTCAGGAGGTCCTGCCTGTGGACCCCCCAGCGCAGAATAGTCACTGCTAACATCTTATAATAGTCTTTTTCAATTATATGGAACATGAGGAGTAATGCTATCTAGTGCGAAATTTTATGTTGTAGAGTTTTAAATGGAGATTTCTGTTTATGCAGAAGCTATGTAGTAGTGAGACATGGGACACCTTTTAATGTGAATCCAACCATTCTGCAAGACAATGTTCATTCCAAGCATACGCACGTTGTATGTGCTCACAGCTGAAAATGCGAGCCCTTGTATTCTGACAGGTACCAACTCAAACAGCAACACGCAGATCTTCAGACATGCAGCGCAACACTGAACAGGGAATCAATTCACTTTTTCAGATTTACTTTATAAGCAGATTGCATCACTTTTTAAATCAATTAAAAAAAAATCTTATGTAAAAACATCAACCCTAAAACAAATGTTACGGTGCTGCTTGAGTTGCCTACTGGAAATCTGAACTGATCTTGGAAACCAAAACTGAAAGGAAGTTCTGTTCTTTGCACAGTTCTTTTGAGTTCTGGTTAT